CACACACCACACACACAAACACACACAGACACAGAAACACAGAAACACACAAACAGACAAACACACAAACACACACAAACACACAAGCACACAAACACACAAACAAACAAACACACAAACCCACAAACACACAAACACACAAACACACAACCACACAAACACACAAACACACAAAGACACAAGCACACAAACACACAAACACACAAGCACACCAGCACACAAGCACGCAAACACACAAACACACAAACACACAAGCACACAAACACACAAGCACACAATCACACAAGCACACAAGCACACAAGCACACAAGCACACAAACACACAAGCACACAAGCACACAAACACACAAACACACAAGCACACCAGGACACAAGCACACAAGCACACAAGCACACAAGCACACAAACACACAAGCACACAAACACACACAAACACACACACAAACACACACACACACAAACACACACACAAACACACACACACACACACAAACACACAAACACACAAACACGCAAACACACAAACACACAAACACACAAACACACAAACACACACAAACACACAAACACACAAACACACAAACACACAAACACACCAACACACAAACAAACAAACACACAAACACACAAAAACACACACACAAACACACAAACACACAAACACACAAAGACACAAACGCACAAACAAACACACAACACACACACAAACACACAACCACACACAATCACACAAACACACACACAAACACACAAACACACAAACACACACACACACACGTACGCACGCACGCACGCACGCACACACACACACACATATATACATGGTTCTTGGTGAATTTGGGGGTTCTCCTCTTTTTGGTTTCCCGACGCTCCAAGACGGCGGTCTTCCGGGCGTCCGAAACCGCCTGGCTGGCTCCAACATCGCCCCACAACCATCCGAAAGGGCTTCCAGGCAACCCAAGAGAGCCCCAAAACTGCACAATAGGGGTCCAATATGGCCCTAAAAGAGCCCCGCGGCGGCCCAAGATGGCCTCAAGACGCCCTCCGAAGCATTCTAACATGTGACCTGGTCGTTCAGAGAGACCGCGGTTGGAGGCAGGGTGGCCCGAGGAAGCCCCTAGAAGCCCCCAGAACACGCCCAGGAGGCCTCCAGAAGGCCTCAAGAAAACCTGACACATTTTCGCGAGGCCCCCACAAGCACTCCAAGGAGGAGCCTCCTCAAAAAGAGCTGAGGAGGATGTGAAGAATGCGCAGGGTATGGCGAGAACGAGGAAAAAAAAACATGGAGGAACGATAACGAAAACCATTTGTATAACGGCGATGCCAGAAAAGGCAACAAGGAGCTATCGTTAAATTGTCGGCTTGGCCTTCTTGCCATTCCGCCTGCATAGCAAACTTCAAGGACCAAGGTGCATGGCGCGAAGCGCCACTGCAGTCTTGTGTGTATATATACACATATATATATATATTATATATATATATATATGTGTACATATATATATATATTATATATATATATATATATATATATATATATATATAATATATATATATATGGTCGCCCCCCCCTCCAAGATCATACCTTTTCGTCTCCTCATCCTCGATTGCTTCTTTTCCTTTCTCTCTCCCTCTCTCTCTCTCTCTCTCTCCTTTCTCTGTCTCTGGGCTCTCTCGGGACTCTGACCGTTGAGAACCGCTGTGCCTGCAAGGTTTTCCAGATTTTCCATGTTTTCCCAGACACTGACCATTGAGAAACGCTGTGTTTTCCATGCTTTCCCTGTTTTCCATGTTTTCCCAGACACTGACCGTTGAGAAAAGCTGCGTTTTCCAGGTTTTCCAGGTTTTCCAAGTTTTCCCAGACACAGGCCGTTGAGAAAAACTGTGTTTTCCATGTTTTCCAGACTTCCCACGTTTTCACAGAAACTGGCCGTTGAGAAACGTTGTGTTTTCCATGTTTTCCAGATTTTCCTAATTTTCCCAGACACTGACCGTGGAGAAACGCTCACTCAGTTGGAAGTCTTTGGGAAGATCTGGAATACCTGGAAAATCTGGAAAACACAATGTTTTTCACCTGGGCAGGCTCTGTGGAGATCTGGAATATGTGGAAAATCTGGAAAACGTAATGTTTTTCACCTGGGTAGTCTCTGGGAAGATCTGGAATATCTGGAAAATCTGGAAAACACGCTGTTTTTCACCTGGGTGGTTTCTGGGGAGATCTGGAATATTTGGAAAACGCATGGTTTTTCAACGGTCAGTGCCTGGGAAGACCTGGAAAACTTGGAAAACACAAGCCGCGCGACCCCTTAATTGTTAATCGGGGGACGTCGTGCGCGCGCAAGTCAGGCGACCTCAACGAGGCAGCATTGGCCGCTTGCTGCCCCGCCCGCTGCAGAATGGCACCCCTCGCAGCGGCCTCCAGCCGCAATCGCAAACGCCGTTTATACATCACACCCCTCAGAGCGCCAGCCATCGCGAGCGCCCTCGCGCAGGCGTGCCAGCGCCCGAACTCGCTGCCGCGGCGCCCGTCACGCCGTTGTCCTCTAGCATCTGCGAGAGGTCCTCCTCGATGCGCGTGCGCTGCTTCTTCGGCGTCGGCGTGTCCAAATGAATGGCGCCGCAATCCTTGGACTTCTGGAGGCGCTGGCGGAACACCCCGGGCCCCCTCTTGATCGCCACCGCAGGCGAGGGGGGCGCGGCCGCGACGGCCGCGGGGGGGGGGGCCGTCGTCGCCATCCACCCCGCCGCCGAAGCCGAAGACGTCCTCCTCGTCCTCTGCTGCGGCAGCGCCTCTCATCTCGCCGCCGAGACCAGAGTCGGCGTCATCGTCATCTGGGTTGCCTGGGATGGCGGGCGCAGGGGGCGCGGCCGCGCTGGCGGCGGCGGATGCGTCGGCGCCGACGTTCATTTCACCGTCCATTGCGGCGAACTCATACCTCGGGGGCGCGTCCTGGTCGAAGAGCGCGGGGCCGCGAACCGTCCTCGAGCGCCCGATGTCCTCGCCGCGAGCAAGCTTCTTCATGGCGGCCACGGCCCACTTCATGCGCACGCCGTAGTCGGGCGGCGCGAAGGTCTGGTCCTTCTTGAACCGCTTCAGGATAAGGGTGGTCTCGGGCGTGAAGAGGTCTGGCTTCTCGGGCACTGGCCACGGGAAGC